AAAAAATAATAAAGGACATGTCATTTCATTTATTAAGGTGAAAAATGAGGCTGGTCTGTGAATTCTCCGCAAAACATTCACTGCAACCAGAGAAAAAGGTAAAACTATAGTAACCAGAGGGAAAAGAAGCGTGAGTCAAGGTATTTAGGATGTGATTCACATATGGAGGTAAAAAAGACAGTGTCAAACGTGCAAGCAGTGACAGGGACAGGAAGGGGCAAGACCCCATCTCCCTCCTGCAGCCTCCATCCTCCCTGCAACCTCTTCAGTTAGCAGGTTCTAGTACTGGGGGAGTCTACACAGTAGACGTGGTTTGCAGCATTTCCACCCCACTTCAACCCCAGGTCATAAAGCAAAGTAGGAAAGGTGTGGCCAGCAGCATAACAGCATCCTAACGGTGCACGCGCCCTAATCACGGAACCGGAATATGTCACCTCATGTGGCAAAAGGGACTTTGCAGAGCTGATTAAGGTCCCGAGGTGGGGATGACCCTGGGTTCCCGGGGGCCCGGCGTCCTCAGGAGGCCCTCACGAGGGGGAGGCAGAGGGTGGGAGTCCCAGAGATGGGCAGACCCTGCGCTGCTGGCGGTGAGGATGGAGGAGGGGACGGCAGGGCCAAGGAATTTGGGTGGCTTCTAGAAACCAGAAAAGGTAAGGGAACAGATTCTCTCTTAGGCTCTCCAAAAAGAACACAGCCTCGCCAACGCTTTGTGTTTAGGCTTCTGACCTCCAGAACTGTTGTAAGAAATTGGTTGTTTTAAGTCACTAAATGTGTGCTGATTTGTTACAGCAGTGACAGGAAGCTCACATAGTGCGTCTGAAGCAGAGGAAAATGGCTCCGGTCATGGCACAGAGAAGACCTCTTCCCAATCTCATTTTTCCTGAGACAATTCTCAACTTTCCAGGTGCTCCTTCAACCTGATTCTGCTCCTACAACCGTCCCTCTTGGAGTGATCCCACAGGTTTTCAGAGAACAGCGTCTTTGTGTTTGAAATGCAGCACTTTTTTTTTTTTAATTTTATTTATTTATTTGTCAGAGAGACAGAGCACACACAAGCAGGGGGAGCGGCAGAGGGAGAAGGAGGCTCCCCGCTGAGCAGGGAGCTTGATGTGGGGCTCGATCCCAGGACTCTAGGATCGTGATCTGAGCTGAAGGCAGGCGCTTAATGGACTGAGCCACCCAGGCGTCCCTGAAATGTAGCACTTTTTAGATGATATTCTGATGAGAAATTTTACCCACACCATAAGCATCCATTTGTGAAACATTAGGAGGGCTGGTTTTTTGCATGCCTCCTCAGAGCATGGATTAATGAGAATCACAACACAGAGAGAAGGGAAGCACTTTAAAACTGTTATGCATTTCAACCATACAGGACATGCAGTAAGTTTCTGAACACTCATGTATCTGCTGTTAAACTGTATTAAATCCTATCAGCTTACCATACTCCATCAGATTGCTTGAAAGAAAGAAAACATTACAGATAGAATTGAAATGCCCTGTGTATCGCCTCCAGGATCCCCAAATCCCTTCCACCTCCTCCCAGAGGAAACCACAGTCACAAATTTGGTGTTTATTATTGCCATGACATACATTTGAATCCATACACTATATATAACATTATTTTCCCTACTTTCAAAAAAATTTTTAAAGTGTATTATGTATCATACACACTCTGCAACTTGGCCTTTTTATCCTACAAAGGCTGCTTAATACTGGTAAGTCACAATATAGTTTCATTGTAATGTTTAATGTAATAAAATAAAATACTAAAAGACACTGAAGCAGGAAATACACCTTCCAAATTACCAGAAAAGAAATACACTCCACCAATACCATCAATAGAGAAGTCAGAAAATAAAAGAAGCTTCAAAAATAAGTGACATAAAGTACATCAGAATTAAAGCCAACATTTATCACAGCAATAATTGGCATAAATGTGTCCTTTAAAAACAAATAGATTTTCTGCTTTGAATCCTAAAACAAAAACCAACTATGTACTAAAAATGAGAGACACAAGGAACTTAAAAAGTTGAACTTCAGGGCGCCTGGGTGGCTCAGTTGGTTAAGCGACTGCCTTCGGCTCAGGTCATGATCCTGGAGTCCCGGGATCGAGTCCCGCATCGGGCTCCCTGCTTGGCAGGGAGTCTGCTTTGCCCTCTGACCCTATCCCCTCTCATGTGTTCTCTCTCATTCTCTCTCTCTCAAAATAAATAAATAAAATCTTTAAAAAAAAAAAAAAGTTGAACTTCAAAGGAGGTGAAAAATTATACCAAAAATAAACAAATTTGTTTTGTTGAAAAAGCAGAGGTGGTACTATTAATTAAAGCAGACAAAGAGAGTCACTTCAAAATGATAAAGGGCATAATTCACAATGAAGACGTGTCACGAATTATTTACACCAAATAAAAGAAAATAAAAAACCAAAACAAAAGAAAAAGAAGTGAAAACAACAGAAAATACAGACGGGAAGTAAGCACAAGAGCAGTAGGAAACTGTAACTTAATCCTTTTGAGCTAATTATCTTTGAATCAACAATCTAAGTACAGTTAAGGACCAGCTATGGTTCTCAAAGTGTAACTGAAAGAGAAGGAGCATCTGTGAAATCGCCTGGTGTGCTTATTAAAAATGCACATTACTGAGCACCAACTCTCACTTGTCAAATCTCAATCTCCTGACATGAAATTTGAGAGCCAATGATTAGTAAGATTGATTTAACAGACAAGCCAGATTCCAAAGCATAAAAACAGAGAATACAGCTTCTCCTCGGTATCTAGAGAACACCTCTAAAACTCGATCATATAGTACACCACACAGTGAAACTCAACATGTCTCAACGATTCAAGACAGTAGACACATTCTCAGACCATAGCATAATAAAAGCAGAAACTGAATAAAGATGATGGGAATCTACAGAAAGCCCGCAGAAAACATCATACTCTGTGGTGAAAGACTGAATGCTTTTCCCTACGATCTGGAACAAAGCAAGGAGGTCTGTTCTCAACACTCCTGTTCAGCACTGTACTAAAGGATTGAGCCAGTGCAATCAGACAAGAAAAATAATTTGTTTTTAAAGAGCGGGAGAAGGGTATTTAAACACCCGAAAGCTTAAAAAAATACATACTCTCTCTCAAAGTACTTTTGAGTCAGAGAAATCAAAACAAACATTGTAAATATTTTTTTAGGTAGGCTCCACGCCCAACGTGGGGCTTGAACTCATGACCCTGAGATCAAGAGTCACATGCTATACCGACAAGCCAGCCCGACACCCTTGTAAATATATATTTATTAACTATGTGAAAACAAAGCTAAACTGAAGGTCTCCTCTGGTTAAATTCCTCACCTTGGAGGCTCCAATCACTCACATCTCAAATCAAGTATCAGGTTCTCAGAAAGGCCCTGAGGTTGGTCCCTCTCATATTATCTATCACAGCAGCATCCTGTTTAAGTCCCCAAGAGCACTACCAAAATATGCAATTATTTAATTAAAGTATGTAGTTAGCTGTTTAATGTCTATCCCGGCCCCTCACTCCATCATGGGTCTGGCTACACAATGAACCAGGCTCCCTGCGAAATGGAAAAACAGTGTACCCGTGACACCCCATGTCAGCTAGTCCTCAGAATGGGATGAAAGCGACAGACACTGCCCCAGATAACACATTATGCCCCAGCATACATTCTGCATCCAACTCAAGATTGTTCACAGAGCCGTCAAGCAACATCCATCAGCCCAATAGGGTCTACACGGACTCCAGATGAGGGATCTCTACTTTGGAGAAAGGCAACAACACCGACGTGATCAGGTGCCACTTAATTGAAAGATCTGACAGGCAACCATCCTCATCAGCTCCAGAGAGAGGGAAAGATTCAGATGAAAGTCAGATGGCTTCCAAGGAGAATTTAGAAAACACAGCTCCCCTTGAACAGGTTGTTCAAGTTCAAATCCTGGCTCTGCCACTTTCTAGTCGTCTGACTTTGGACAAGTTACCTTATTTCTGTTTCCACTTCTGTCATACAGAGATGTGAACAGCTACCATCTCATGGGGTTGTTCAGATTAAACGAGGAACCACATATAAGAGCTAGAGTGATGTTGGAAATACAGCAAGCAACCAGTAAATATTGACGTTGATGGTGATGATGCACATCAGAGCTTGTGGTCTCTGCTCTGCCAAGTCCACCACACAGTTGGGACTTCTCCCAGGCCATCAAAGGCTGCTTCACTGACCTACTGCACTGTATCCTTCCCATCATGGCGTCCACAGTCCTCCCTGACTGTTCAAAGCCGTATCCCTTGGCATTGTCTGATTTCTACTGATTACCATTACAAAATGGCAAATACCAAACAAAATAGCAAATTGTTTGGCAATACCAAACAAAATGGCAAAAGGCAGAAAATCACACATAATCAGATAACTCTGACAAATAAACTCCGTTCATTCTTCCACATCTCTGTCCGGCCTTTGTCCACTTATGTACATATTTTGACTTCACTGGATAGAATCACACATACTATTTTGCACTCTTTATTTTCCACTTTGCACCCAAAGCTCCTTCTGTGTAAGCATACATTCTGCATTGCCATAGCAGGACAAGAAACAAGTTAGGACCTAGCTAAGTGACCAACAGGGGCAGAATGACTATGTAAAATATTGAAACCGATTATTGAAACAATAATACTGAAGTTTCAAACAAAAGGTTGAAACAGAATACTTTTTGTTTCAACAACTAAATTAATGTGACAATTCTTAGCAAAATCCCACTGCATGTTAGTGTTCACATTTATTAATCTCTTCCAAAAGGACAGGCATTGGGCATAGCTCAATGGCAATTCTCCCCATTAAAAAGGTCCCTTCTCAGATCTGGACTTCAGTGTTTTTCTTCAAGAATGTGGCATACAACAAACAATGAATCATGGAACACTTCATCTAGAACTAATGATGTAATGTATGGGGATTAACATAAGAATAAAAAAAAAAAAAGAATGTGGCATACACCTACTTCTTTTCACATAGTACATCACAAGGGCAAAACCTATCCACACTTAAGTAGTAGAGTGCTAAAAGTTACTTTACAGAGCAGCAATAATCTCTAAAATCCAATAAGGTAGCTGCTCTGATAGAAAGCTTTCCCACAATCAATTATTTTATAGGTTTTCTGACTAGTGTGAGTTTTCTGATGGGTGATAAGGGATGAGCTCTGGCTGAATGCTTTCCCACATTCATTACAGCTATACGGTTTCTCTCCAGTGTGAGTTCTCTCGTGCCTAACGAGGGAAGACCTCTGGCTGAAGGCTCTTCCACACTGATTACATTCATAGGGGTTCTCACCGGTGTGAGTTCTCTCGTGTTGGTTAAGTGAGGAGCGATCACTGAAGGCCTTTCCACATTCATTACATTCATAGGGCTTCTCACCAGTATGCGTTCTCCTGTGCAAGATCAGGTAAGAACTCTGGCAGAAGGATTTTCCACAGTCTTTGCATTTATAGGGCTTTTCCCCTGTGTGAATCCGCCGGTGCTGGGTAAGAGACGAAATCCTGTTGAAGGCTTTCCCACAGTCACTGCACGTGTAGGGCTTCTCTCCAGTATGAGTTCTCAAGTGTCGTGTGAGGGTTGAGCTGTGCGTAAAGGCTCTCCCACATTCCTGACATTCATATGGTCTCTCTCCTGTATGTATTCTCTGATGTTCACTCAGGGAATGCCTCCGATTAAACATTTTCCCGCAGTGGTAACATTCATAGGGTTTCCCCACTGTATTAATTGTGGTGTGTGTCCTAAGAGCCGTACCATGATTAAATGACTCCCCACTTTCTGCATGCGTACAGATTCCAGTTCTTTTGTGTTGAACAAAGGGACTGTTTGGGCTGATGTCTTTTCCACATTCATTCCCTTCACAGGGCCTCTGGTCTGAATATCCCATCTGATGATGTTTTAAGAATGGATCAGCTACCAAACTCTCAATATCAAGATCACAGTCATGGAAATGTTTTCCTATAAAACCTCCTTGTGATAAAGCAAGGTCTGAGTTCATACTACAGGTTTCCCCAAACTCATGCCAGGCAGTGGACTCCTTTGGAGCAAATGCCTCTGCTTGGGTATATGCCATTTGCCTCAAAAGCCTGTGGGAGTCTTCATGGTTCTCCTCCAGCTGACCACATGCCCAGTCTTCTCTGGAGAGCTTTATGATATTCATACCACTGGCTGGTTCTTCCTCCAAAACCACCTTCTTATAAATTGACTCTTGGCTTTTCAGACTAGTCTCTAAATCTGAAATAAATTAAGGGGAGGGGGAAGACATTTAACTTAATAATAGTGGGACCAAAGTACTTCCAACATACACAATGCACGTGTGAATTCATGTTCAAATATCAGCATTCAACATGGGGGAAAACAGGAAAAGATCCTAAGGACAGGAAGCAGTGTAAGAAGCTGGACAACGATGAAAAATGGGAGAAAAAAATGTAAATATAGAAGGAATGGTTCTACAAAGGAGGGAGAAGGAATATGGCAGAGAGAAAGAATCATCAAGAAAGCAGACAGGGAAGAGAGGTAAGAAGAAATACAGGTAGAATAGCTTCAAGAAAGAAATGGGATATCTTAAAAAAAAAGAAAAAAGAAAAAAAAAAAGAAGTGGGATATCTTTTCTCTGCACCCACAGCGGGTGGTAGAAGCTAGTGCATAGGGCAAGGTTGCTGGAGATGAACCGAAGGTATCTGAGAAAGAGCAACCAAAGACCTCAACCTTCTCCTTATAGAGTTCCGGCCTCTGTGGAGAGATCTCTGACCTGCAGTCCCCAAGATGCCACCCCCACTCAGTGGCTTGTATCTGCCTGGCTCTCACCTGAACAGGAGGTTTGGGGAGTTCCTTGTGGCCCCATCCACATGGCTTCTCCTGGCTCCAAGTGGGAAGGCACCACTGGTAGAAAGAGTGGACATCCCACCCATGGGGAAGGACTGGTGGCCCGAGAGGTTTGCATTGGGGAAAGTGTGCCATCGTCAATGCCTGTATCAGAACTTTGGTTCTTCAAGGCTCCTGAAAGAGACAAGAGTACACTGGACAGGTAGCACGTTGACCAAGCTGGAGATTTTATTTTCCTAATTAAAAACCTGTGGATTTTACATTTCCCCGAGAAAAATCTACAAATGGCCAGCAAGCACATGAAAAGATGTTCAACGTCATTAGCCATTAGGGAAATGCAAATCAAAACCACAGTGAGACATCACGTCATACCTAGTAGGATGGGTATGATTTTTTTTAAAAGAGCAAAAGCAGAAAATAAGTCTTAGAGAGGATGTGGAAAAATCAGAATCCTTGTGCATGGCTGGTAAGATGGTGCTGTGAAAACCAGCTTGGTGGTTCCTCGAAAAGGTAAACATAGAATTACCGTTGGACCTAGCAATTCCACTTCTGGGTATGGACCCAAGGTTGCTGGAAGCAGGGAGGCGAAGTGCTATTTGCACACCCACGTTCACAGCGACCAAAAAGTTGAAACAACCCAAGTGTCTATCTATGGACAAGTGGATAAATAAAATGTGGTCCATCCAAACAGTGGAATATTATTTAGCCATAAAAAGTAATTAAATTCTGACACCTGCCACGACGTGGAGGGACTCCCGAGGACACTGGGCTCAGCGACAGGAGCCAGACCCAGAAAGGCACATCCCGCAGGACCCCACTCCCAGGAGGTCCCCAGAGGAGTCCCATCCACAGAGACAGAGAGGAGAGGGTGGGAGCCGGGGCTGGGGCAGGAGGTGGGGAGTCCATGCTTCGTGGGGACAGAGTCTCCGTGTGGGGAGATGGAAAGTTCTAGAGACGGAGGGTGGGGGTGGGGAGTCCGTGCTTAGTGAGTATAGGGTTTCTCTCTGAGGTGATGAAAAGGTTTTGGAAACAGCGCTGATGGTCCTACAACATTTTGAATGTAATTACTGCCTCTGAATTGTATACCTAAAAAATGGATTAAGAAGGCAAATTTTACTTTACATGTATTTTACAACAAAAATTTTTTAATGGTGACTCTGTAGCCAAGAGGACTCAGGGACGTTCTCTCGGACTAAGGTGCGAGGTGCGTCTCAACAGCAGCTCGGACAATCACACAGCGAAGAAATCAGGCCATTGTCTGCGTCGAAGAGCCCAGCGCACCATGAGCCCACAGGGACAGGAACCACGGCCGCCGTATTCACCCCACAAACCCCCACTTCCTAACCCGCTCGGGACGCAGCGTAGACGCTGAGTGAGCGTGAACCGAGGAGCGGGTGGATGCGCGCTGCTGGTCTTACCCAGGGCGGCCAGGTTCGCCCAGGTGTCCAGCATCACCTCTCTGTAGAGCCTCCTCTGCGCAGAATCCAGCATCGCCCACTCCTCCCGGGAGAAGTCCACGGCCACATCCTCCAAGGTCACCAACTCCTAAAACATCACATCGGTTCTGCTCAGGCACGCCCCCGCCCCATCCGCGGTCACAGGAGGAACGCAGAGGGAGGTGGTCCACGTGGAGCGGGTGCGCAGCCCAGATGTCAGACTGCCAGCGCAGGGCGGCCGGAGGGGCACATGCGGCCCATTTGCTGCTGTTGTTAAGATTGATTGATTGATTGATTGATTGATTGTCAGAGAGAGAGAGTGCGCACAAGCAGGGGGAGCGGCAGACAGAGGGAGAGGGAGAAGCAGGCTCCCGGCCGAGCAAGGAGCCCGATGCAGGGCTCGATCCCAGGACCCTGGGACCATGACCCGAGCTGAAGGCAGATGCTTCACCGACTGAGCCACCCAGGCGCCCCAATATTAAAAGTTTCTGTGTTTCTCCCATCCAGAAAAAAAAAGCACCCAGGGCTGCCACAAAATTTTAGATAAAGTGGGGGCGCCTGGGTGGTTCGGTCGGTCAAGTGTCCAGCTCTCGATTTCAGCTCAGGTCATGATCCCAGGGTGCTGCGCTCCCCACTCTGTGCGGAGTCTGCTGGAGATTATCTCCCTCTCCCTCTGCTCCTCCCCTGTTCACACTCTCGCCCTCTCTCAAATAAATAAATAAAATATATTTTTTTAATTTTTAGATAAAGTAGGAAAAAACAGGCTTTTTTCCAGGCCAGCAGCTGCTGCTGCAACCTCCCCCAGACCCCCTCACATTCCTGCTGCCTTCTTCCCAGGGAGCTCTAGGGTTAACCCTGCAGCTGCTGAACTCACTGCAAGGCTTTGAGTAAATCTGCAATTAAATAAAAAGGAAAACAATTTTAATGGCTTTGAACTTTGTGACTATTACATATGGATGTACAATTAGAAATGAGTGTGAAATATCAATTCGTATTTATTAAATAATATATTTATATTTAATATTTATAATAAATAAATATTGTTTAAAATTATAATAAATAAATATATATAATTATAATTCCATAATGGATCATCTCAATTAGGGAAGACTAGGGAAAAAGTCTCAGTGGGACACAAGTTCTTTGTTTTTTGCTGCCTGGTGAGCAGGTTAAAATGTAAGCTCTTTAAATACTAAAAACAAGCCTCCATGACTCATGATTTTTATGACTTACACCTATCGGAGAACAACATGAAGAGAGAGGAGATCCCCAGATGGAGAAATGCCGTTGGGGTTTTAAAGACTCAGGTCTGAGCCACTAAGGGGCTCGTGATCCCGCGTGGCCTGGAGAGATGAGGACCCTCCAGCCTGACCGCCTCGGTCTGAGTGGCTCCATTTATGTGCACATGAAGACAGACGAGACAAGAACGGCCACGGCCCGGCCCTGTGGCATCTCAGCTTTGCCGCTGCCGAGGGACAAGCCGCTGGCTTTGTTTGGAACCCTGACCTCACAGGTTCCAGGCCCAGCACGGGCTCCAAGCTGAAACCTCACAATGTCCCCAAGGGCTGTGTCAGGCCTGAAGCAGGTGTGCCTGCAATGACCAGGACTTCGATGCGGGGGCCAGAGCAATTGAAGACCTCTCTCCAGGGGGCCCCAATAGGACAACATCACAGATACTGACTGGACATCTGGGTCACTCACAAATGACCCCAGGAAAGGGCTTGTTCTCCGAGGGACCACCTGAACCCGAGCTGTTGGTCACCTCTGTATTTCTGATGCAGACACTGATCACGTTCCCAAAGCTGTGAGTTAGGGGACAGGGACCCTGCCTACTGCTCTCTACAGATCTGCTGTCCCAGCCGATAGTGGCTTCTGCTCCCCACCTCTCTCCTGATGCTCATGCCCCAGAAGGCGGCTTCCCATCAAATGCAGCTGTCCTCAGGCTTAGGAAGGAAAGGACCCTGACACCTGCCACGACGCGGAGGGACCCCGAGGACACTGGGCTCAGCGAGAGGAGCCAGACCCAGAAGGACACATCCCGCAGGACCCCACTCCCAGGAGGTCCCCAGAGGAGTCCCGTCCACAGAGACAGAGAGGAGAGGGTGGGAGCTGGGGCTGGGGCAGGGGGTGGGGAGTCCGTGCTTCATGAGGACAGAGTCTCTGTGTGGGGAGATGGAAAGTTCTGGAGACAGAGGGTGGGGGCGGTCGCAGGACAGGGTGAGTGTGCTTCATGCCACGAGCTATGTACTGAAAGTGGTGAATTTCATGTTGTGTGTATTTGACCACAATTTTGAAAATTATTTTTAAATAAGGAGGATGGCGCAGCTCTTCCCGCCATGGGGGAAGTGCGGGGTCTTCAGGCCACAAGGACGCGCTCCCAGCCCAGGAAGGAAGCACAGCTCTCCTGTGGGGAAAGGTGTGCTAAATCCAGCGTATGCCTCTCCTTAGACATCCAAGAAGCAGGGGTACTCGGACCCAGATGCTCATGGGCAGTGCTCCCTCAGTTCCCACGTAGCGAGGAATGCAAGTCCGGTAGGAGCGCTTCCCCTGACACACCGGGCATCTTCAGGGCCGGAGGAAGTCCCCACTCACCTGGGGCCATGGGGGCAGGTAGCCAGCAGCCATTCTCTTCTCTTAGGAGCAGTTTCCAAGGCAGGCAGAGCTGCGGGAGGAGAAGGGACCGTGAAGCCCAGGCCCAGACCTGTGCCCAGTCCCCAAATCCTGGGCCCGGAGACCTCTGCAACCAATCCAGGTGTCCCCCAAACAGTGTGGTCAACAGAAGCCAGGACAGAGGCCATGGGCCTTAACGGCTCCTTAACCCAGGCTCCGACGGAGAGACTGAAGGTCTCGGAAGCTTATGGAATGCACCCACTCCATTGCAAAGCAGTGCTGGGGCCACTGAAACAGATGACCACATGCTGGGAGGCTTAAGACCACAGAGACTCACTCTCTCACATCCTGGAGGTCAGAAGTCAGATCAAGGTCTCAGGGCTGCGCCCCCTCCAGCGGCTTCAGAAGAGGGTCCTTCCTGCCTCTTCCAGGTTCTGGGCACTCCAGCTGGCCCTGGGCTTGTGGCCACGTCCCTCCAGTCTCTGCCTCCATGGTCACGTGGCTGTCTCCCGAATCTGTGTCTCTCTTCTTATGAGGACACCAAGTCGTTGGGTTAGGCCCGCCTACTCCAATATGACCTTGCCTTCACTAACACCATCTGCAAAGATCCTATTTCCAAATAAGCTCACATTCTAAGGTGCCGGGTGGACGTGAATTTTGCGGGGAACACCATTCAACCTAGTAGGACCACCCAGGCTCAAACTCTGGAAGGCTCAGTTCAGAGCCCACAGGCGCCCCCACCCTGGGCGTGTCTCAGATTCACGTCTGCCTTCCCACAGCCCAGCTGGCTCCCTGGACTCGCTCCCTGACCCAACTTTAGTTGGGCCACTCTGAACCATCCTTTCAACCAGGCCTTGACCTCTGAGCTTCTGAGTTTAGTTCTGCATTACCCAGTTTTAGCAAGAGCCCCTGCCCTGTGTCTGATCCCCTGGAGAGCTGACCGGTCCCCCCATCCCACAGCCACGTGGCGTGGGGATCACCCAGCCTGCCTGCAGCAGCAGCCCCATCAGCTCTGTTTAGCCAGAGCCCCCCTGATGTGTCCTCTTGGCAAGTGCCTGTCCGCTGACCCCCTCCTGCTCCCTTGCCACATACCCCGGCTTGTCCACGCTGCATCAGGGATGGAGCCCAGGTCCACCGGGAGGTCTCTCCCCCCTGCCACAGGGCCTGAGCAGACTCTGTTTCCAGCACGCTAACGAGTGTCTGGCTCTGGCCCTCAGTGACGGCATCCTGAAGCAGTCCCCACTCTGTCCCCACTCACCACAGGTGAGCCACCTGCCCCCTCTGGGTGTGTCATCCATGTGTAAACTCTAAACTCTCACGCAGACTCACGAGGAATGAATGGACACTTGTGATGGGCTTGATCTGGATTCCTGGATGAAAACTTCAAAAAAATCACTACCCCCCGCCCCCCATTAACGGACCATCACCACAGGAACACCCCAGTAACCATCCCTGCAGACAAGACCCACCGATGCACACACTTCATTACTGGGGAGATTCCAAGGAGAGGCGGGACATTGGTCATGCCTCCAGAATATGTTAATTAGCACCCTGGTTTTAGCACATCTGTAAATCCTTCCATGTTTCTCGTCCAGGAGGTGGAGCTCCGCCTCCCCAGACCCCTGCTTTCCATGTGGGTTGACTCGGTGACTTGCTTCCAGCAAACACTGCAGATCAAGGGAGACACGGCAACCTTACTACTGGAGAAACCTGTCAGACCCCACCCGAGCCGGGTGATCGAGGCTGGAGTCACCGGCGACACGGACTGGACAGCAGATATGCCCTGATGTGACATGACACCACTGGGATACCCTCCCCCCAAACCATAACCCCAGTGTAATCGTGAGAAAACATCAGACAAACTCAACCCACGGGACCTTCTACAAACACCTGGCCAGTGCTCTTCAAAAGCGCCAAGGTCATGAAAGACAAGGAAAGTGTGAGAAACAGTCACAGACTGGATGAGCCCAAGAAGGAGGGCAAGGTGACAAAATGTCCTGTGGGCCCCTGGATGGGTTTCCTGGGCCAGAAGGAAGATGGTAGTGGGAAATCTGGGGAAATCTGAAAAAGTCTGCCATCTAGTTAATAGAACAGAACTAGCGTTAATCTCTTGGTTGGTTGACGCTTTTTTTTTTTTTTAATAGTGTGTGGTAAGAACACCCAACATGAGATTTATCCTCATGACCCATTTTAGGTGCATGACGCCCTATTGCTGACTCATCTTGCTGAACCGAGACCTGATGCTGCCCGCCCCCTCCCGTCCACGCTCCGGGTTGCATCTTGGTTGCGATCAACGCCCCACAGTGAGGTGTCGATGACATGAGGAGAAGCATTCTCAGTAAGGGGTAAGGCAGTGTTAACCCTGGGGTCCTGCAAATTGGTTCTTGGGGTGGGGAGGGGAGGTCAGAAGAAGTGTTCTTTTTATGTATAAGGCACAGATGCGTGTTCAGTACAGAGGCGGATAATGCACACCTACACATAATGCGTTGTTTGGTATCGAAGGTCTGGGACAACCCCGCATCCAGCAAGTCTGCGGGGCCATTCCTCCCACGGCGTTTGCTCACTTCACGTCTCTGTGCCACGGCGATCTCACGAGCTCGTCATTACTGTGGTTGTTACGGAGATCTGTGGTCGGTGATGATGCCTTGCGGAAAGCTCAGATGACGGTTTGCATTTATTAGCAATAAGGTATTTTTAAATTAAGGCACGTACACGATATTTTTAGACATCATGCTACCGCACACCTAACGGACTCCAGGTCAGTGTAAGCATAACTTTTACGCACCCTGGGAAACCTGACAATGCACGCGACTCGCTTTATTGTCGGTGGTCCGGAACCAAACCTGCAGTATCTCCAACGTAAGTCTGTGTACATGTAACTGTTGTTATGGGCTAAACGGTGTCCCCTCCAAATTCATACCTTCAAGTCCCAACCACAAGACCTCAGGTGACTGTATTTCAAGACAGGGCTCTTAACGAGGCAATTAAGTCAAAATGAGGTCGCTAGGAATGGGCCCTGGTCCCATAAAACCCATGTCCTTATAAGAAGAGAGGACTTGGGGGGGGGGCGCCTGGGTGGCTCAGTCGTTAAGCGTCTGCCTTCGGCTCAGGTCACGGTCCCGGGGTCCTGGGATCGAGCCCCGCATCGGGCTCCCTGCTCAGCGGGGATCCTGCTTGTCGCCCTCCTTCCTGCTGGTGCTCTCTCTCACTATCTCTGTGTCTCTCAAATAAATAAACAAACAAAAAATAAGAAAAGAAGAGAGGACTGGGACACAGACACACACAGAGAAGACCATGTGAGGGCGCGGAGACAAGACAGCTGTCTACCACCAAGGAGAGAGGCTTCAGAATGAAATCAGCCCTGTCGACACCTCGATCTCAGGCCTCCAGCTCCAGGTCTGGGAGAGAACCGAGCTCTGTGGTGTGAGCCGCCCAGTCCGCGGGGCTCTGTGGCAGCCCCCACACACTGATGCATCTGTGGTATTAAATCTTCGTGGGGGGGCTGGTCAGTATCAATGTGCTGGCTTCCATCACTGTTGTGAGAGATGCCAATGGGGGAAGCTGCGTGATGGGTACAGGGGGCTCTGCCCCGCTTCTGCAACATCCTGTGAGTCTATAATTAATTCACAATTAAACATTTTAAAAAATAGTAGCCTCCCGCCAGAAGAATTTCACACAGAAGGGCGACTGGGACACAAGAATCCCCACAAGGTTCCTTGGGGCGAGGGCAAACGAAGAAGCCGGGCTGCTGCATGAGGGGGGAGCTGTGGAAAGGCACGGGGGGCTCCATGCGCCATCTGCATGCCTCTTCCCCAAATCCCTTCAAAAGAAAAAGCTCACTCAAGTAAAGATACTTCTCCCAAGGTGATACTCAGATGACGGAACGGCACACAGAAAGATGCTCAACGTCGCAAGTCATGGGGGAAATACAGATCAAACCCACAGTGAGGTAACACGTCACCCCCAGGAGGATGACTAGCATCAGAAAGGCAAGAACAGGGGCTGGGGAGGACGGGGAGAAATGGACGCCTTGGGCATGGACAACGGGGCCGCCGCCGTGGAAGACAGTCTGGCAGTTCCTCGAATGGTTAAACACAGGTAACATGGGACCCACGCTCTCTGCCCAAGAGAAACAAAAACATACGTCCACACAAACATCTGTTCACAAATGTTCACGGCAGCGTGACTCGCAGTCACCCAAAGGTGGAAGCAACCCAAAGGTCTGTCAACAGATGAATGGGTAAACAAATGTGCTCCGTCTACACAGCAGATTGTTATTCAGCCTTAAAAAGAAGTGCAGCCCTGACACGCTCTACGTGGATCGACCCCGAGCCCACAACGCTCAGGGAGGGAACCAGACACAGAAGCCCCATGGGTGTGAGTCCACATGTGTGACACGTCTCCAGAACAGGTTCATCCATGAACAGGAAGTAGATCTGTTTTTGCCACGGGCTAGAGAATAGGGCTGGGAGGTAACGGCTCACGGGGACAGGGTTTCTTGGGAGAATGATGAAAGGATCCAGAATTAGACAGACATGGTGACTGCCCAACTCTGTGCGTATACTATAAGTCACTGAACTGCATACCCTAAATGAACCAACTGTATGGGATGTGGATTACATCTAAATAAAGCTATTACCAAAAAAATAAAACTAACAAACCTGGAAAAAAAAAAACTTAAATATATATAACTATATATATAACACACACACGTAATGTATCGCAAGATGGCCAAAAGCTGGCAAGGATATACACCAAACGGTATCATGGCTAACTCCAGGAAGGAC